GTAAAATAAATATATTATATTTATATTCAGTAAAAAAAAATATTGATAATTTTTCAGTAAATAAAAAATTTAGATTTCCAAGTAATAAAAATTGTAGTTTTTCAGAAAAATTAAAAAATAATATGTATAATTTATTACAAAAAAAATATAATTTTCCAGTAATAAAATATTTATAATTTTTCGATCAAAAATATTTTTAAATTTTAATTTTTTGTTTTATAATAAAGTTCCAATCAAGACCACATATAATCAATTGAAAACCATATGGATATATGGGTTTAGTGTGATATACGTAAAGTAAGTCAAATTGCAAAAATAAACAAACAAATATGTTAAAAACTATGTTTATAACTGTAAATGCACGTAAGAGATAATTACAAGTGGCCAGCCTACGGATGTGTGATAACAGTTTCGTACTTTGACATTGTTATTGTGCTTTTTATTATTTTTATTTTTATTTTTCATGATCATATATGTATGTACATATATGCATGCACTTATATACATATATATATTGTATTATCATATCATTTTCGTCGCTGTCGCTGTCACTTTCTTTGCACGCCAATGAAAATAACAAAACGGTCAGACGCTAGCAATGACTGACTGTCACTTGCTGACTCTCTGTTGCTCTTGGCTGCTTTTATAGCATTGGCGACTGGATTGGTCGCCGCATACCTACCATACATCTTGGCTGTGTGACTGGGGCTGTTTACAATACTAAACTACGCCAGCGGATGGATGGATGACTTTATTTTTCTCGCCACGTCGTTGTTGTTGATTGAAGTAAACACATTTATTTGTGCACAATAACAATCAAGTGGAAAAAACAACAACAACAACAACAACATGTGCACATACATATCAGCTTATTATTACACTAAATAATTACAAAAGTACGTTTGTATGTACATATGTACATTTAATTCACTCTTCGTGCAGGTGATGGCATCGACAAAAACAACGAAAAATATGCTATAAATAATTTTATCAGAAACAGAAAAAATAGCTCGCAATTCGAAAATCAATATGTTATCAAATAATCGCACCTCGTCAATATGTATGTATGTATGTATATATGTATGTGTATTTAAAGCACGAATAAACAATTTTAAGTGTTTAATAAAGCGATTTTGGGGGGAGTAAAACAACTTAATATAAATACGTACAAAGGCGTATGCATACATAAATACTTTCTAATGCGATAAATAAGTAATAAGTGAAAAATAAATATTCAAATGAAAAAAATAAAAATTGTTTGCATGCCATGCCAAGTCAGCGCTGCTGATAAGCGCTATTGGTGGCGATGATCGAGAATAAAAATCCGAATTCAATTTCAAATTATTTTAAATTTGTAATTTTGCTGAATATTTATTTAGCACAGTGTACGGTTACGATTTGCATTTTATATATTTTTTTTTATTATTATAAATACATATCTAATATTTTTAATATATTTTTTAGTTTTTATATTTTTTATTTGTATTTTTTTTATTTAAATTTTTAGTTTAAAATAAATAAAATAGAGAAATAGAGAAAAAAATAATGAAAGTAAAAAGGTTAAAAATTTAAATTAAAAAATACAAATAAAAAATATAAAAACTGAAAAATAAATTAAAAATATCAAATAAAGGTTAAAAATGAAATAAAACTTTGAAAACAAATAAATATTAAATATATAAATGTAACAAAACTCAAAAAAAATACAATAAATATAAATCAAATATAAAAATTGAAAATTGATTAGAAAATAGTAAAAAAAAAAGAAAAATAAAAAAAAATTTAATAAAATATAGAAAAGTAACAAAATTAAAAAATATATAATAAATAAATTAAAAAATATATAATACATAAATTAAAAAATATATAATAAATAAATAAAATAAAAGGTAACAATATTTAAAAATATATAATATCAAAATTAAAAAAAAAATATAAATTTTTATTTTTTATTTATTTACTACATATTTTTTTTAATTTTGTTACTTTTCTAAATTTTATTGAATTTAAATAAATAAAAAGCAACATAATTAAAAAAATATATATACTAAATAATATATAAAAAATAAAAATATAACTAAAATTTTACATAAATAAAAAAAATCACTGTTACAAATTCCTCACTAAAAACACACAAAGCAAAAACGAAAAAAAAAAAACAATAAAATATTCAAATATACTAAAAGCGCATGATAGTTATAAAAAACATAAAAAAGTAATAAAAAAGTTCGAATATTTTGCTCTGCATACCAAATGTAAGCCCTCCACAGTAGCCACAACACTAAGAGCGGCTCATACTGTTTTCGTCACATTACCATTGTTTGTTATGTTAACGATGACGACAACAAAGTTGATGGGGGGAAAACCCAGTGGAGCACAATTAACAGCGTGAAAGCATAAGGAAAAAAATAACATAAATATATGTACAAGTGTATGTATGTATGCATACGTATGGTTAACAAGCTCGTCAAGCAGAGAGAACTTTCTAAAAAAAAAAAAGATTAATGCAATTAGATAAGATTTCGCATTTATGTATACAAATAGTTATGTATGTATGCACAAAATACACGTCAACGGTGTTTTTCGTAAGATATTGACAAAAATTCGCCCGCTGGCATGTGATCGGACAAAAATTAGGACTGATGATGAAGATGATGATGATAACAACAAAAGCGCCACGTCACGTCACTTCATAGAGAAATATGAAAAATATTAAGTATAAAATGTATCAAGAGAAAAAAGGGTAAACAGATTTGTTTTTGCACGCGAGCGTGAAAAAAAAAACAAACGTAAATTGTGTAATTCATTGAGTGTGGCTAGCTTGTTGAGGAGTTTTGTAATTATATCATAGTTAGACGCTTATTTTAATTTCACAATTAGGCGCAAGTGTATGCTTACATATATATACAACTAATGGCCCGTTGGCGTGGCAAGCAGCAGTGTACGGTTATATTCTATACATATGCATTATAGCGAGGCGATTTAAAATAAACAACTAAAAAGTAGTGTGCAAAATCATTAGAAGGCCAACAAGTTGTTAATGCCACTGTTGCACATTTAACACATTTTCGCATTTGCATACACATATATACATATGTACATGCATAAATGCATACATTCATAGAGACTTGGATTGTATGCATTCCTAACTAAATACATGCATAAAAGAGTCTAAAAAATTTACTAGCTCTGGTGCTGATGATAGTTTGACCGCAAATAATAGAAATTAACACTTGATCAGGTGCTTGCGCTGCTTCCCTGCTTCCCTGCTTCTATTAAGCGCTCCTAACGCTCGCCATTCGCTTGCTGCGGCTAACTAGCTAACCACATTCCATACTAATTGTTGCTCAACTAGCATAAAGTGGTCGATAAGAGTGCACAGGAATGATGATAATATAGCGCAAATGCATGCTTGTATGTATGTATGTATGTATGCATATAATATATTGTCAATTTCGGCATTTCATCTTTTTTTTTTAGAATATCAGCAAAAGCTTGTTGAATTAAATTACTTTACACATTATTATTGTCGTACAGCAGCACTTGGCGCCAGACTCAAGTAAAGTAGCAAATATATACATATGTATGTACATACAAACTCGTGCATATGTACTATATATTTATATGAACGCAATGGAAAAATCCTATTGAGAATATTAAAAATATATATATACATACATAAATATGTAAACAACAATACAGTATTTTTTAAAGCACTTTTGCTACTAAAAATCATTCGCTTTGAGTGGTGCTTTATTTATTTATATTTAACGGTGTTTATTTCGCTTTTCAAATGTCAATCACATTGCACAGCTGGCGATAGCGCTTTCGTATTGCCTTTCTTTTTAATTATTTGTTTTTATGAACAGTCTTAAATTTTTGAACGTTGTTTTATTAGGCTAAATTGTTTAATTCCCTTTAACATTTTTATATAATTATATAAAATTTTTTATAAATATTTTTTATAAATTTTTTTTTACTATACATATATTTTTTTTATATATCTTTATATTTTTTTATTTAATATTTTTTTATATATCTTTATATTTTTTTAAATTTATATGTTTTTTATTTTATATTATTTTAGATTTTTTATACATTTTTTTACATTTTTATATGTTTTTTACTTTTTTATATTTACTCATAATTTTTGTTACTTCTTTTTAATATTTTTTAATATTATTTTATTTTTTTAATATTTATTTATTTTTTTTTTAATTTTATTAATTTTGTTTAATATTTTTTTATTTTTTTAATATTTATTACTTTTTTCATAATTTTATACTTTTTTAATATTTTTTTTTACTTTTTTAATTTTTTTTTTACTTTTTTAATATTTTTTTTTACTTTTTTAATTTTTTTTTACTTTTTTATTTTTTTTTTTACTTTTTTAATATTTTTTTTTTTAATATTTTTTTATTTTTTTAAAATTTTTTTATTTTTTTTTTAATATTTTTTTTATTTTTTTTTAATATTTTTTAATTTTTTTAATATTTTTTAATTTTTTTAATATTTTTTTATTTTTTTAATATTTTTTTTTTATTTTTTTAATATTTTTTTATTTTTTTTAATAATTTTTTTATTTTTTTTAATATTTTTTTTATTTTTTTAATATTTTTTTATTTTTTTAATATTTTTTTATTTTTTTAATATTTTTTATTTTTTATTATTTTTTTTTTTCAATTTTGTTTGTTTTTTAATATTTTTTATTTTTTTAAAGTTTTTTATTTTTCTAATATTTCTTTCCATTTTTCTAATATACTATTTTATTTTTTTGTTTTATTTTTTTTTGGAATTTGGTTTAATTTTTTTTTGTATTTTGTTTTAAGTTTTTTTGTATTGTTGTTTTAATTTTCTTGTATTTTTTATATTAATTTTTCTATTTTTTTGTTGTTGTTGTTGTTTGTTGAGCTAGTAACTCCATCTCTCACTAATAAACTCATACAAAATATGTATGTATATAAATATACTATATATATAATGTATTTAAAAACACTTACTTGCATATTCACGCTTCGTATTTACATCCACAGCGAGGTATACATTACTAAAGCTACCTTCGCCAATATATTTGCCAAAAATATAATCATTCGGCGTTTTCTTTGGCGGCGTAACGGCGACAATTGTGGGCGACGAGCCAGAGGCAGAGGCACCAGCAGCAGCAGCGGCATTTGCCGAGAGCGTTGCAGCTGAGGTAATATTGATGGCGGCGCTGGTGTTTGTGGTGTTGTTAGTTGTGGGTGCGTTGGCTATGCCAACTGTTTGCGTTGTGCCATTATAGCCGTTATATAGTAGGTATTGTTGTTGTTGCTGTTGTTGCTGCTGTTCTTTGTCTTGTTCTGCCTGTTGTTGTTGCTGATGGCGACAACACGTTGGCGTATGATCCGGCGATGATGAATCAACACCATTTGCGGCCACAGCGGCGGCTAAAGGTGATGAGTGTCCTGTAATTGAAAGAAAGTGACATATATGTGTTATATATATAGATATATATATGTATGTAAGTATGTATTTTTTTCTTTTTTTTTTTGGAATAACAGCTTACCATTTGTCAAGTATCTACTGCTGCTATGATTCAAGCTGCCCACCGTTTCTGGTATCACCACCGATACATTGCCGCAGCCGCAGAGGCTGTTGCGTGACTGTGTGTATTGTTGTAGGTGTTGTTGTTGCTGTGTTTGACGTTGCGCCCAATGCGGCTGTGCTGTTGTTGTTGCTGCTGCTACTGTTGTAACAGCTGTTATTGACTGCACGCTAGCAGCAGTAGGAAGATGATGTGTAGGTGTTTGTATACGACTTGTAGCTGTAGTGGCCATTGTTGCTGTTGCTGCTGTATTGCTATTGCTGTTGATGCTGTTAGTGTTGGTGGCAATGGCGTTGGCGTTTGGATTTAATGTCAATTCTTTCAATTTCAATTCGGTAAAATTATTCTCATTCAACGATACTGCGGTAGCCTTCTCTTTTGGCATCGCTGGCATCGTGCTGCACGGCGACAGGATCTGTTGCTGTTGTTGACCGTTAACCTGTATGTGTGGGAGAGAGAGAGAGAGAGATATTAATGAGACAAGCTGCTTTTTTTACTATTTAATTATTTTGAATTTATTTTGAATTTATTTTTGAAATATTTGTTTCAAAATTTTCTTGAAATTTTTCAAAAATTATGTTTGGTGTAAATTAATTATACATTTTTCACTCTCCTCTAGTGTTGTTGAGCGCATTCAAATCCGTTTTATGAATGATCAGCGTAAATCTAGACAACTTTGTCTTTTACCTTGTTGTTGTTTTTTGTGTGGCGACGAGCCTATCTATCGTACGCCAAAACATTTCATGGCGCAAAACAATAAACTGATAAATGAGTGTGAACTAATCATCAACATAAAAAAATTAATTTATGATAGGCTGTTTAAAAAAATAGGATAATATAAAAAATAATAATAGCTTATAAACACAAACACAAAAACATGAGGCTCACAAAATTAAACACGCGAAAGAAAATTTAAAAGCAAACGAGGAAGCGTGTTAAAAGTAAATGCGATATAAAGAGGAGGAGCAAACAAATGAAAAATAATGAAATCAAGAAGATTTCTTTAAAACTTACGGGTAAACAAAGAGATATGTGTAGTGAAACAACACAACTGTTACGAAAGTGAATATAAAACAACGAACAGAGGGGGAAGACAAAAATCATAAAATAACAACAAGAATTATTTGAAAAGTGTGATACGAGTTACGAACTAGGGAAGGGCAAAAGGTGCATTAACACCCGAAGATCATCATCAACGCTAACATCATTATCATGGTTATCATCATCACAACAACAACAACAACAACATTATGAACGCTTTAGGTAAATTGGCGTGTGAAGCAAACAGTGAAGATAGATACAAGAGTAGGCAGGTAAGAGCAGAACAACAAAGGTGAGAAACTGAAACTGTATATCATAAATCATAAACGGGTTCAAGGATCCCTTTACAAGAGTTCATTTACCGCACATTTGGACAGCGCACTAAGAAAAGAAGCAAAAAAAAAAAAAAGGCTGTATTAACTACACGACGTATGGGAATGGAAAACGTATATCATTTGTTGGAGAGGTCAAAATGGAAGGAAGAAGGAAAACGCACGGCAACGAAGAAGAAAAAACAGAGTGATCAGCTTAATTTGCACTAGTTTATACTTAATTTATGTACGCATGTATGTATGCATGGAATAAAATTGATTTTTTTTTTTCATTTCAATACTTTTATTTTTAGTTTTGGCAGTTGTTGTTGTTGTTGTTGTTGAAGACAAAAAAAACATTTTTTTATAAAACGAAAGATTTGCGTCTGTTTACGCACTTTATGGCTTTCATATGGTTTCTTTCCACGCACACAATCGCTACCTTTATGTAACAAATTTGCGCATAATATTAGTGATTGTGCCATTTTTTATTGTTTTTTTTTTTGGTTTTTTCTTTTTTGTTGTTTTTTTTTGTACTTTGCTATTACATACTGATTTACCATGAACAACAGTGGAAAGTTTATCAAGAGATATTCGCAAAAACTTAAATATTAGCAACGCCCAAAGATTTTTGTTTTTGTTTTCTTTTCGCTTTATTTTATTGTATTTATTTATTTATTTTTATTTTTATTTTTTGAATAGACTACACGCTCCAGTTAATATTATATGTGGTAGGTAAGTAGACTACGGCTACGTATATATCTTCTCATGTAAACCCCCCCCCCCCCCCCATATCGCTCTTCTTCAGACTTGTGTTTAAAGCCAATTAGTGCGGCGGACTATTGTGTGAATAAGTAACTAAGCCTGTAAGATTATACATATGTATATATGTAGCTTTAAATAGAAATTGTTGAAATCTTTAATCAAAAAAAAAAAAAAAATAAATAAATTAAATAATTGAAAGAATTAAGAACTTAACATTTTAATTTTACAGTCTGAAAATAAAATCCAATTGATATATTTTTAAGTGTTTGTTTTCCTTATGTTTTGATTTCTTATTCTTATTGAATTCAGCATTTCTTATATTGGTCTGTTATTTTTAAATTATTTTATATATTTTTTTATATTTCACTATTTACCTTTTTATATTTTCAAATTATAATTTTTTTTTATTTTTTTTTTCGATTTATCAAAATTTTTAATATTATATTTTTTAATATTTCTATATATTTCACATATTATATAAAGTTGTAAATTTTTAATATATTTTTATAATTTTAAATATTTTGATATTCCTTAACATTTTTTAAGTTTTTTAACATTTTGTTTAATTTTTTTTATATTTTTATCATATTTTTTAATTTTTTATAATCTTATATTTATATATTTTTATATTTATATATTTTTAAGTATTTTAATATACATATGTCACATTTTTAATTTATTTTTTCATTTTTATATTTAAATTTTTATTTTACAGTGAAACTTTCCTTCAAGTGTGCTTTTACATTTAATTTTTATTTAATTTTTTTTTTTAAATCATAATTTATTTTTTTTTTATAATTTTATTTTTTTTTATAATTTAATTTTTTTATAATTTAATTTTTTTATAATTTTATTTTTTTATAATTTATTTTTTTTATAATTTAATTTTTTTTTATAACTTTATATTCTTTTTATAATTTTATTTTGTTTTATAATTTTATTTTGTTTTATAATTTTATTTTGTTTTATATTTTTTTTTTTAAATTTTTTTTTTAATTTTTTTTTTCATAATTTTTTTTTTATAATTTTTTGTTTTATAATTTTTTTTGTATAATTTTTTTTTGTATAATTTTTTTTTGTATAATTTTTTTTTGTATAATTTTTTTTTTGTATAATTTTTTTTTATAATTTTTTTTTATAATTTTTTTTTATAATTTTTTTTTATAATTTTTTTTATAATTTTTTTTTATAGTTTTATTTTTTATATTTTCTGTCCTAAATATTATTTTATAAAATATTTTGTAATAATGTTAAAATTTTTTATATCTTAATTTAAATTTTTAATTTTTTTAGTGTTTTTTTTATCTTTTTACTTTGTTTACTTTATTTTTAAATAAATTATTCATAACAATTTTATTATTTAGAATTATTATTAAATTTAAGTTGCACCTGAACTAAGCTTTGCTTAAATACATTCGAGCATAAATGCATATACATATGTATGTATACTAAGCTCCGCACAGCGCGTTCCATTGGAATGTGGCTTGTCCAGATTTAGAATTTAGTCTTCATTGATTACAATGACTATGCTTATATGTAGTAAATGTATGTATACAACAACAATAAATATGTATATATCAATATATTATAAATATAATACATAAAGTTTTCGTCTGGGTATTTGTGAGAGGTGAGGATAGCGTGTATACTCCAACCACTATATACATACGTACAGATCATGATCTCATATTCACCAACCTATGAATTATGTATGTATTTAATTTGTATTTCCACCAACATTGCCAGCCTTACGCTCATTCATCTCCTTGCTCTTAACTCTCCAAATACGAGATTTACGAGTTGAGCGAACTCAATATCAACACGATGTTCATAGAGTAAAAAAACGTATCTTAGCTATTAGCCTAGTCATCATGAAGCGCCAATACAATCATACAATGCTGCATGACTTTCAAGCTTTTGAGCCGAAGTTCATTCTTTGTTACGTTGGCTTTGTTTTCACAATTAACTAAGTATTGTGATTATTAACTGTATAAGTGGCACTCTCGAAATATTTGCATGTAAATATGTTTGTATATATATATATATATATATCGTATATAGGAAGTCATTGATCGCTGAACAAGTGGCGAGTGAATGTTATTGTTAAAAAAGAGATAATAAAGTAAAAGTCAACAGAGATAGAAATTGAATTATCTAGCAATATATTTAAATAATTAATTTGCAGATTCTAAGGAAAAATAAATGTTTCTACTTAATAAAATTAAATTCTGGTGTGCATGCATTTTTCTAAAGGAACCAAATTTCAATATGATTTATCTGTAAAATAATTTTAAATGTCCTCCAAATTCACTGTGCACACCAAGTGTTCTATATACTTACATATATATACATACATACGTATGCATGTATATATGTATGCATATGTGTTCTATATTTGATCATCAAGTGATCTCCTGGTCAGATTTCACTTTTCATTGTGAGCATGTGCACATTTATTTATTTCAATATATGTATATATACAATACATATATATGATTTGGTGATTATTTAATTTCCTTTTCAGTTGCTGATTCAACCGTATTTTTAGCAATCATCATTTATATTTAACAAGAAAAATATTTGAAAAATGCATAAAAATGCCGCAGACAAGTGGAAGTGGCAGACTATAGACGACCGACGACGTGAGTGAATGGCGGGCCTGTTTATAAATATGAATTTTTGCACTTAGAAATATTCTTATGCAATATACTAAATATAAATACAACATCTATTTATGTATGTATGCTTGGATGTAGAACACATGTTCAAGTGTACGAGAGTTATGCATGCATCGATGCACATGTTTCGCAAAACATTTCAACACAAGCGGAATGATATTGATTGTTTGCAATCAATGTACGTGTATATTTAAACGAAAAATGGAAAACTTATTCGTAATTTTGTGCGAAACCATGCAGTGTGGGTAAAACGAAATTAACAAACCAAAAATGTTGATTGATTTTTATTTTTTATTTGTTATTTTATCCATTTTTTTATAATATTTTTTTACTTCAATTATTTTGATTATTTTTAAAACTTTTTTTATTTTTATTTAATTTATTATTAATTTTTTATTATTAGTTTATTATTATTTTATTATTTTTTATTATTTTTTTATTATTATTTTATTATTTTTTTTATTATTTTTTATTATTTTTTTTTGTTATTTTTTTATTATTTTTTTTTTATTATTTTTTTATTATTTTTTTATTATTTTTTTATTATTTTTTTATTATATTTTTATTATTAGTTTTATTTATTTTATTATTATTTTTATTTATTTTATTCATTTTATTATTACTTTTATTGCTATTTTATTATT